CCAAGGGCGAATGGATACTGCCTGTCTTTTGCCACTCTAGGATCTGCTTGGACATTAGCAAAGTACTACGTTGTTGAATACCATCCAGCACTGTACGTAATTCTAACCCTAACCCATTCAGGCATAGAACTAGATAGGCATGGTTCTGGATACAATAGAAGCCCTACAACCAAGTTGACCACGCAGTGAGTTAGCTCCCTTACGATTTGTAACGATTTGTAGGATGACAACATCCAGAACCATGAAGTCACCAGCCTGCTACATGTAATTACTTTTTATTAATCATAACCGAAGGCTAATTGCATACACAGGGTCAAAGATGTAATTTTAAAGTAAAGCAATAGAGAACGTACAACTATAAAAACCTACCTCTAACGATGAGTCTCATGATGCCCTGTTGTCGGGTCGGGTAGTAGCCGAAGTAGAAAACCTCGTAAATTCCCGTGTCCGACTTCTTGGCTTGGCGGATAGTTAACTCAGGCCTGGAGAAAATTATTACAATACATCTTATAAGCAGTGTGCATGTAAGTCCAGTTTTATAAGTAAAAGTCCAATTCAAGTCACCAAGGTGACCAATTATCTGTTTTATTATTTGTTTGTTGTCTGTTTGCACATAAAATCAAGTCAGTTTGTTGCAAATTACGCAGAAGAAATGTGCAGAAGAACCTGCAGGTTCAAAAAAGGTTCCCCCTTAAATAAAATTGATTTTATAATTACTTTGGTCAGATTACATATCTTAAGCACACATGCATTGTAACTATAGATGAAATAAGATTTGTGCAGTGGGATCTTTAACCTGCAGGTTGGTTTGTTTACCTGTCGTTGACGGGGTTGTTGACGGGTTTGCCGTCCTTTTTCCACGCGATGGCCTCGTCTGGCTTCCGACTGCGCATGCTCATGCGTAACGTCACGTCTTCTCCCAGGCTCACGGTCTTCGTGAACTCATCGGGGACGAAGTGCGCTGCATGTCGGGAAAAAAACGGTTGGGAGATCAACAACACATATGAACAAAAGGTGTTCCTTCTTGGTGAATAGTCCATCAAATAAAATTTAATTGCCCGCCCAGGGGTGTACTAGTATATGGTGTCATAATGTCTGGTCATTTCCTATACTCATCGTCCATTGCATGATACATCGAACACGAATATGGCGGACTGAGCCTTACCTCGTACCCAGGGTCTTGTGAATCGGTCAACTCTATTGGTCAGGGTCAGGGGGAAACAGCGGTTGGGAGATAAAGATCAACAACACAGGAAAACTTTACCAACAACACCGGCAGATCTACGTTTTTGGGTACGCGGAGACTATCCAGAATGGTGCCACATCCTAGCCTTAACCAATTTAGCTATAGAACTAGATACACGCGGTTGTGGACACGATAGAGATCAACGGCACAGAAACACTACACCGAAAACACGTGCGCTTTTGGCGAATTCTGTACGGACAATTACAAGAGGGGTGCTATTAAATAAATGTCGCAAAATAAAACCATCTCAACAAAATACTGCTCTGTTTATTCGTATTCGAGACCAGACCCTCAAAGTCCGCCACTCGCTACATAAGGCCGCACCAAGTAAATTTTATGGATGACGTCCGCGCGCGCATTGATTTGAGGTGTTCCTAGAAAAAAAACAAGAAATTATGCTTCCTGTAACTATGACCAAAGAGTCACGACAGTGCCGCAAGTCGTTAGATTGACGTGAAACCCGTAACGTGAAATGGGTAAAGAGCACATGCTTTGTTTCTGCAGGCCTGCAAAAATGTGAAAGAAACAGGACAGGACGACAACTGCTGTGCCACCTGATTTATTGCTATTTTGATGATGAATAAAAGACTTCTTGCTTGTTAATCTGTGTCACCTCATCCAATTTGTGTCCTAACATTTGTCGTCTCTTAGTATATTTCTAATCTAGGCATCTTGTTTTTTAGGGCCCTTCTTGTTTTTTTTTCGCCCTGTCGCATTAGATATAGGGTCTCCAAAGGACGTCATCCATAAAATTTACTTGGTGTGGCCTAATGTAACCCAGCACAATAGGGTGTCTACTACAGCACCAGTTTAATACATTAATGACAATCGTCCGGGTCATTGAACTTAATGTGTTTGGAGAAGAAGAAGCAAAAACATTGTTTCATTTTATTGAAGGAAAACGTAGTAAGAAATACAACATTTAAAATGAGAAGATGACATCAGTTCTTTAAAAGGGTCACGCGGTCATAAACACGAGAGGATATGAGGATGGAAGAAGGGAACCGACTGTGCAGGAAACACGTGCTTGGCGTCCGGTTCGCAAAGCCCGGGACATGTTTTTAATCCCTCGCGACCGTTTGGCGGATGTCGATATGGGCAGGATGACATTCAACACATGTAGTCTGATATACTTATTCTGATACTCTGATTCAATGTGCGAAAATGTCCTCTAAATTGCCATTTCGAAATACAATGTAGGCCTTCTGAGTTAGTGCAGCCACTGTGGTTACTTAGAGATTGAGTTGTGGAATACATAAATTATACAAACAGAGAGAGGAAAGAAAGTACCAGTTTTGACTCTTGAAAATCATTTTGTGAGATGGTGACATAGATTATGAATGTATTGCTGTTTCCACATGTTGATAACTTGAGGTTGAGGTCTGCGATCACACACACACCCGGCTCATTGGGCAATGCCAACAGGGATATGGTTCCCTGGTGAATAAAATAAACAATAAACAATATGGCGTCAAGGTCAACTTACCTTTTCTGTTGACCTTGATGGTGATGATTTTGGACACTCTTTTGTCTGCTCCGTTCTTCATCCGGGCCTTGCAAGAGAACGCACCAACCTACAGGAGAAGAAATAAATGTATTAGATTGGTTGTTTGTTTGTTTGTTTGAGCCTTTGTTACTTACGGACGGAAGTATTGCTTTGGGCGGCACTGGTTTAGGGGGCTTTGTATGTTTGGGTTCTTGAGTTACACATTGAAGGATAGTGTGGTAGTCGGCAGGGTTTGGAGGTGGGTAGGCAGAGATCTATGTTCAAAACATTTTGCCTTCATTTCCATATATAGTCCACTCTCTGGCATTCTCTTAATGATTTACATGCCTGCTGTTTGTTTACTTGTTTCGCATAACTGGTAAACCGACTTTATGCACACTTTTTGTACAGTAAGTACAAGGTGTGAACACCGGTCTATAATTAAAAGGTTTGAACCACTCACACCTGGATGGACCCCTATTTTTTCGACACTTAGCGGCGGTGGGGTCTTCAATGTGCTTGAGGCGTGGGACAGTCAATAACATGAACATCCGAAAATAGTTTCATCGGGTTTGTTAAGCATAGGATAGGGGAGTTTTCTTTCACACAACCAAATTTTCTCACCTAATGGTGCTGAAGTTTCGGTGTCTATAACAAGAACAGTTTCTTCCCACCTGTGCGTACCCGGCTGTCGCCAGCATCCTCACGGCCACACCGTTAGGCGGGATCATGTAGGTGACGCGTTTGTCCGTCACCTTCTTCCCCGAGCCCGTGTCCAGTTCAACCCGGAGCGGGTACTTCCCTTCGCCCGCCGGTTGTCTCTGCTGGATGATGTCCCCCATGGAGTAGCAGTAGATGTAGGTGTCTCTTTCCTGTGGGTCTACGGCTGGGAAGGCGTTCAGAACCGCCATGTCCACAGTTAGGCCTGGGGAAAAATGCAAAGTTATTTGTTTGCTTGTTTGTTAGTTTGTTTTGTTAGGAGTAGCAGTAGATGAAGGTATCTCTGTCCTGTGAGTCTACTGCTACTGCTACTGCTGCCTGTCTACTGGGAAGGCGTTCAGAGCCGCCATGTCCACAGTTAAGCATGGGGAACAGTGTTATTTGTTTTGTTTGTTTGTTTGTTTGTTTGTTTGTTTGTTTGCTTGCTTGTTTGTAGTAGATGTAAGCGTCTTTGTCCTGTGGGTCCACTGCTGGGAAGGCGTTGTCATGTCCACAGTTGGGACAGAGTTGTTGGGACATGAGGGGATGGAGATACAATGTTATTTCATTGTCATTGTCAACAAACGATCTTGGTGCTTTAAAATCAGTTCCTTTCCCAGGACAACAACACTGGGGGCTGCCAGGAATTCGAACCGAGAACATTCAGAGCCAACAACACTAACCATAAGACTACCCTATAGCTTCTCGAGTTATTCTTTGCCGCTTCAACGGGCAACTTTCATATCGGATGTTATTAAAAAAACTACAAAAGGAATTGCATTCCTTTAACACTCTTGTGAAGGAAATTGTGGATATCAGGTATTTTATATATAATATTCGACAAAATATATCTCTCACTAAGATCGCTATCTTACAAAGCCACATTGTGCCCCTGCTATGTAAGCGGATCTGTCTTCAAAGGTCTTTGTTGAAGAGCTTGCCTACAACTTGAACTTGTGTTTGTGTATCTTCTTTTTTCTATTATTATATATATAAAATTTCTGTTGCAGGCATTGAATGTTATGAACGGATCATAGACGACAACGATAAACGTTTTGGTGAAGAGTTCATCTGGAGGTCATCGTTTAAGAGATACCATCTGATTGCAGCGAAACGATAACAGTTTACGGTTTTCCTTTTAGGTAGACCGACTACTAGCGAACCGGCAAACATGAATGGCAACAAACTGTCGTAGCAAACAATGTTCAAAGTTGAAATAACATATTTTATGCCTGTTTGGTCTTTTCTTTCGTCACACACACTGGCAAAATCATCCATTACAATACCTAATAGTTACGGCTTATCAAACAGCAAAGAAGTCTGAACTTGACAAGATAGAAATCACGTAGGTACGATTCAACACAACTCCGGAAAGTGTCATGTTTTGATCTTATAGGAAAAGTCGTACTGAAATCTTACATACCCTGGACGTGGAGCACAGTCAGACTCGCCATTAGCACATGAAGCACGGTCCAACGAGGAAAGTTTGACCCCTCCATGGTCGCGCTTAACACTCACACGACTCGCGCGCAGTGCCAACCCAAAGCTAACTCAACGGTCGCCTATCCGAGCTACTAGTACTTATTTCGCAGTTTTCTGATTTATTTTAGGGTTGGACATATCCTTCCGCTCGACTTTCTGGCAGCGAAGCGCCCTAGCCTGACTCGGGAACAGCGGGAACTTTCTTATCTCCACCTCGCACTTCTTCCGCAGTTCGGACTTGCTTCCTGCCCGGAGTAACCGGGCTCGGGAGATGGGGAGGGGGGCGGTGTAGAGTTTCCTATGGTTCACAGCTACAGTTGTATTAGATGTTACAGTTCATACTCGGTATAGTTATGTCCTGTCCCGATTCAAATACCTTATATCCAGGCCCTGCCCTAGGCGTTTTGCACAAGAGAGACTTTTAAGTTCTAGTGCTTCAATGTCTCCTGTCCATTCTGTCTTACTTTAATTTTCTCCACTGTACAGATATCAGGCTCCTACATGTTCACCACTTCAACTTACGTTGTGCCCGTTAACTGTTGCGCAATAATGTTGATATGTGTTGATCTGGGTACCTAAGGGCTCTATGTTAAGTGGTTAATTTGCACATCATCAGTCGGCGATATGGTTAGGACAAGAAGGAACACATCTGTAAGTTTAGTTTCGGACGCTGGACAGTTGTCACTTCTTTGATTAAAGTGCATCAGAATATCTCACCGCAAATTAAAGGGGTTGCGGTTTGAAGCTAAGCCGCAAGGAGGATGTCACACGCACACACATACGCGCTCGCGCTATCAATACACACTCGCGCACAAGCGCGCGCGCACACACACAGACACACAGAAACACACACACAGAGAGTCACACACAACTTTTCTATCTTTATTTTTGGAGGGAATTTACACAATACTAATACTTTCCCCATTCGGCTATGTGTACTTGAACTTCATCTTGAATATCCTTGACATTACTCTACTACAAGTTCACAGACTAAAGAACTGCCATGACGGATCTGCGTCGTGTCCAAAGTGTTAAATACCCCCCCCCCCAATAAATCTCTGATGACGTGTGACGTGGTGTCAGTCGATCCGCTAGGGGTCGCTTTTGATCGTTCAGTCGGCTGCCCTGTCCTGGCCCGCGGATAGTTGTCTTTGACAGTTCGCTGAACCTATAGCAATCCGCTAGAACTATACAAATCCTCGAAATATCCCTTCCAAATGTCATACAAATGTAGAATGCAGGCCAAAACACGTATGAAACGCTCCTAGAATATGTATCACAGCGCCTTTGCCGCGTCGCTTCGACTGATGGATATATGGCAGCCCTTGAGGCAGTTTGAATCCATCATCTATAACGTTACATATAGAACACTGAAAACGTTTGGACTTAATAATAGTGACCATTCGCCATATAATCCAACACGGAGAGTCCCCTGACAAATTACAGTTTCTGTAACAGAATCAATATTCCGATTTTGAGACTGTGCCAAGTTTTGAACCAAGGGTGGGTTTCGGAAGCACAACTAGGAAGAAAAGGTGGCTGTTTGGCCAATTCATGTCTGTTTGGGATGTTTAGGATGGTCCTAGGTTAATTACTTCTAAACATGGAAAACACACGGGCAATATCAGCCTCCACCGGGCCTTTCTACGGGAATACGGATCGTAGAATTCGGCAAAAAAGAGAGTAACATTGGCCAAGGGGAGGTAGTTTTTTCCCTCCGAAGTGGCCAGTCAAACCTACAAGGCGGCCAAACTCCCTGACAAATATTCTCCTATATATAGCCAGCGTAGTTAGTCTGGGGCAATGTAGCGATTTTGTTGAAAGGTGCATGATTTGCTGATGTGCCTCTTACGTGATTGTTTCCTCCCCCCTTGCGTCCTCGAGATGGAACGTTCCTCCTGTCAGGAACCGCGCGTTGCGTGCGTCGTCCGTCACAGCCGTCGATCAAAATCGAATCACGGCGCACTAACTCACTAACGTCCGCGTGACGTGATTGCCGCGGGGAGGGACCGTCTCAGAGCACTAACTCACTAACGTCCGCCTGACGTGATTGTCACGGGGAGGGACCGTCTCAGAGCACTAACTCACTAACGTCCGCGTGACGTGATTGCCACGGGGAGGGACCGTCTCAGAGCACTAACTAACTAACGTCCGCGTGACGTGATTGTCACGGGGAGGGACCGTCTCAGCGTCACAGTGTTTCTCCTTAAGGAAATGCAAATATGAGATATCCATGTTCTTCTTACTTACTTATAGACTTAGGGGCTCCCGTGTCTTCCTTCACATGGGCAGTCAGAAAATTCCAGCAAGTTAGGTCAAGGCCAGTCTCTAATAAAAACTCTCTATACATCTTCAATATTTATCATTATAATACACATTATAATACTATATTTTATACCAAACAAACCTTGCAGTTTAGGTCTACTTTTTGTAAGTCCTTCTCAATTGTTTGTTTGTTTGTTTGTTTGTTTGTAAGTTTTAGATTAAGTACAAGGCCCGTGCTCTTCCTTTCCCTAGAATACCTGTTCTGTGGCTGCTCAATATAAAAAGTCGAACAAAACCTTCAAAGCAACGTACTGTACGAAAGGCAACGTGATGCCGCTGAAGCGACAACAATTTTCCAAACTCATTTATCGATTGCGGGTTTTCTTGAAGGACAGAGCCATCTGCCCACGCGCCACTCTGAAGGTATCGGATGTTTGTGTCGTCTATAGACATCCATAGACTTTGTATTGCACGTTTGATGGGGGGTTGGCAGGGTGCTCCAAGTGGTACCGTGAGTTGTCCTCTATTGTATCCAGAACCTTGCCTATCTTAGTTCTATGCCTGAATGGGTTAGGGTTAGGATCAGGCACGGTTCTGGGTAGTGTCCGCGTATCCAAGAAGGTAGATTTGCCCCAGGCACGGTTCTGGATACGCGCGGACTATCCAGAACGGTGCCTATGCATGGTTCTGGATAAAGCACAGTTCTGGATACGCTTGGACTGTCTAGAACCGTTCCTGAACATGATTCTGGATAACTGAGCACAGTTCTGCGTGTATACGCGTGGGCTATCTAGAACCGTCCTTGAGCGTGGTTCTGGAAGTGCAGTTCTGGATACGTGGACTATCCTCGGCATACAGAACTGTTCCTGAGCATTGTTCTGGATAACCGAGTACAGTTCTGGATACAACATCCGCTCACCATCCCACCCTTCTACGCAAACCCATCTGGTCCAAAGAAACGCACTGACGAAAAACGTTCCCTGAAAGCGGCCCGGCAACCCCTCCTCATGACGTCATGACCACCACATATCCTCCCTCTCCGCGCAGCTGATTGCTTTCCTCCCCTCTCCGTCGCGTGACCACATACGTCACAAAGGCCGGAACACCGCCGCCTTACGTCAGGGCTTCTTGGAACCGCCTTGAGCAAAATCTTGAGACGTCACCTTGAGTTCCCTTGAGTCTGCCAAACCAAACTGCTTCCAGCGTCTCTGTGTGTGTGTGTCAGACTGTCTTAGCGTTCCCTCTAAATCTTGTCACTACTACGTCAACGTCTTTAAAGGCATCCAATGCAGTTTTTAGGGCTTGGAAACCGGATTTTTCAAAGTCAATATTCCAGTCACTTATCTACATACTGAGTTAAAACCACACTCCCAATGTACTAGTATATTGAACCTTATATGGAGCAAAAAAATTTCCAAAATTCTAACGGAAAATGATTACTGGAAGGGCCCTGGGCTGATGTTTAGAGTACCGCCCAGAAAATAAAGGACTCATCTTGAGGCTTGTTTCTGCAGTTTTAGATACCCAAAGTATGAAATACTGATTGAAATGTGCTAATGTGAAGCAGTATGTGTGAATATCATAAATACTGCCTCATTCGGAATATTTCCAGTTTTGCTGCTCTGAAATCGCATTGGATTAAGAGCTACGTTTTCTACGCCTTACGCCTTTCCTCTAGGGTAGAGAGGATGGAAAAACAGATCCACCGTACAAAATGCACTGAAGTATTGCATCATCAATCTTACAGAGAAATAACAAAACTTTGACAAGAAAACTAACCCTTCCCCGGAGGCATGTACGTAAGAACAAACGCGAGGTTTTTGCTCGTGGGCGGATCCGTGAAAATTGTGCTCGCGACTGTGCTGCCCAGAAGGGAAAAGAGACTTGAACAAGGCCAATCACTCATCTGAAGGCCGCCCAGTGGCTTAAGGCTGTCGATATGAAGGATTGTTCCTTGTAAACGGCGAAGGACGATGGGGTGTGATGAGGTATCCTTCATTCACGCACGGAAAGAAGAAACACACGAGTAGTATATCATAGACTGTCCATAATATCACTCAAACCGTCACACGTGCTGTTGTGTGGCGTACCGGTGGCGTTTTCAGTTTAGGACCAAGAGGTCGCGGGTTCGAATCCTACGCATGTCACCGATCATGAGTACCTAGCTTCGGTTAGGGACGTCCCTCGGATAGGACGTTAAATGGAGGTCCCGTGTTTGGGGAGAGCCACACCCCACGCACGTTCAAGAACCCACCGCACTTATCGAAAAGAGTAGGGGACCTTCCCGGTGTGAGTGGTTCAAACCTTACAGTCCGGTCTTACGCAGGCTGTACATGTACATGTACAAAACTGGTGTGTACATGCCTTAAGGCGGTTTACCGGTTATGCGAAGCAAACAAAGCAAACAAACATACACACCCACCCACAGCTCGGCCACCCAAGATAATATTTCCGAATCAGAAAGTGGAAAACCAATAGAACTGGAAGACAAAAAAAAATCATTATTTAATCTCGCATGATCTCCAATGATTTACCGACCAGGAGTTAGATATTCTGTTTCCATAATGTTAAAGATGACACACCTTAAATTTCGCAATGTGCTTATTAAGTTATTATATAACACTTTTTGATTTATGATTGAGTGAGGACTGCTCACGCCATAAAGCGTTACATTCATGCGTGGACAGGAACCAAATCATATTTCATTCTCTCCTGTCAGAGAGATCATTGAGTCTTCCAACAGGCCAACTAGAGAATTTACAACTACATACTTACCTAGTCGTGCTATGTTATATTATGTTACGTTACGTTATGT